CTGTCCTAGTTGTGGCCAATGTGTACAGATGCTTCATCAGCCTGTGGCCTGAAGTTTGCCCTTAGAAGAAGGCAAGCCAGCTTTCATGGGACATTTGAGACCAGGAAACAAGGCAATTCTACGTCTTTTCCAAATAATGGCCTTTCTACTCTTGAGGCTCCTCTGCATTTTGCAAGCTGGCCTTCCATGGTTTTAATACCATGCTCATGTTAAAATTAGCTAGATTTTGCTTTCAAAAATATAGTCAAATAATTTTTAACAAGGAAAGGTTTATGAGTCTATGATTAGCTTGGGGTAAGTCTTCTTTCTGCTTTTCCTTTTAGTGTTGGTTCCTCCTTTTACCCTACCCATACTCCCATTTTCCCCCTCTATTTTGGTACAAGGGGGAGCAGAACAAGTAGAGAGTTAGTGCGTAATTTTCCCTATGGAGTGAAATAATGAGGAAGTACTGCCCAAACTTGATTATCTTTTCCTTCCCAAACAGTGGTTTACCCGCTTCTTGATATACCTCTACACCCATAGCTCTGCTATCACCACCCCTACTCCTCTATAATCAATGTTCTAAATAATGCATATAGTGCTTCTGTAAGGCACTTAAGATAATACATCACTCCACAGTATTCAAGCCACACAGCGTTACTTCTCTCAGGATCATTGGAGCATTTAGTGGTGTCTCTACTAAGTACAGGAACAAATGGAAACTCTGAACTCGGAACAGGTCACTTTGATTTGAGCAGACATCTTGATGCTGGAATTCAGTAGAAATTGCTTTTGTAATGTCAGAATTTAATGACACTGGTTTTAATTAAAAATATAATTGTTAGAGTCTTTTAAAAAGCTATTTAGAGGCTTAGACAGTTCACCTTCAATCTACAGAGGTAACTTTTTTTTGGAGGTGTCTTGTCTTTGAGTTGAGTGAGTGGTCTTTTGTGCCATCTATTGCAATACGGGAAACTAATCAGCTCAGACCACATTTTCTAGAGACATTGTTTTCCTCTTTGTTCTGTGGGTTTACCTCGCTAACAATGAGAATATATTCACTGACCTGAATTAACAGTGCATACCCATGCAAAGAGGAAGCAGCCTGGCTGCAGGTCCAATTCCTTGTGAAATATCAACTTCTAACTTGTATTGAGCTTAACTGCGTGCCAAGCCCTGTGCCGAATGTTTTATAGCATTGATTTCATTTAATCCTCACAACACTAAGTAGTTGTTGTTGATAATTACTTTTAGTATCAGCAGTTCGTAGATGACACTACTGAAGCTTAGCTTAAGTAATGTACCCAAGGTTTCACATATAGCCAGTAAGTTGGAATCTGCA